AGTGATAAGAATGTAGCTTATCTTAATGCATGAAAATGTGTACGTAGTAATCTTAAGTGACAAGCACACTGATTACATCTATGTTAAAACCAAAGTATGCACATTAAGAACTAGAAGATAATTTAGAATGGTACAAATAGTTCTAGTTTCAAGTTGCCTTGACTTTTTTTTTTTAAGTGGTATAAGTATACAATTCTAAGTACAATTTAGAATCCAGAAATGTTTTTTAGAAAACTCTCCATTAAAGGGCTTGGGGAATATCATTTCAAGATTGACTGAGAATGTCTGCATGGAGCACTAGCGTGAAAAGGATCCTAAGGCCATGTCTCAGCACTACGGGAAAGAGTAATAGGTTTGATTAGTGATGTCTGCCATGGGTGAAGGATTGACAGTGGCAGTGTGCATGCTATGTGGTTGCCGTCTCTTGAGACACTCTCAGCAATGTCTGTCACTTTTGTAGACACTCTGAAAGATGAACGAGCTGTTTACAGAGCCATGTACAGAAAGAGACCTGTCCTTTCGGTTACAAGTGGTAAGATTTGGGGCAAGTCACTGGATATAAGATGGTATGAAATAAATCCCATAAGGGAAGGGAAAGCAATGTTTTCCACAATTGGGGTCAGTTTGAGAGTAGGCGGGCATAGTGCAGAGACTCTGTGACATTTGTAGCAGGTCTCAAAGGATGAGAAGCTCTTGCAGGAGGAGAGGCTTGGGAACGTTGTTCCAGATGGCGAGCATGGCGTGGGTAAAGGGCTGGAGGCTGAGAAATAACGGGCCTCCTCGGGAGGAAACAAAGAGGTCACAGTGAGTATTTGTAGGTTAGACGTAGAAGATGAGAATGGAAACACAGGAAGGGACCAGACTGAGTGTGTCACGCAGCCTGGGATGATGACTGGATTTTATTTGGTTAGTCACTGGGAGGGCTTTGGTGAGTTTTGAGGCAGGTGGTGCTTTGAGGGAGATACAATAAAGCCAGAGGGTGATGAGAAAATACCTCTTTCCTGGGAGACTATCACTTTATAGAGGATCCCAGGGCCTGGATTTTAACAAGAGCCCTTGGGGCGTGGGGTGGAAATCTGAGCGCTGGGATGATGGGGTGCAGGAGAGATAACCAGGATCCGCTGGGAACAGCCCCATGGGCTGCACCTACTGTTCAGGATTCCTGAACTCAGGGCCGGGCGCAGGGAGGTGGAAGTCGCAGGCTCTGCCCTCTGGGAGCTTTCAGTCTATGGAGAGAGAAAACTCACCCAGGAAAGAACTGGAGACTGATCCTAGACGGCGTGAGATCCGGTCCTAAGGGCACAGCACAGTTGGGTGTGCAGTGTTTAAGGGTAGAAAATAAACTTGGCTCCTGACTGGCGTGGCTCAGTTAGCTGGGTGTCATCCCACAAAGCAAAAGGTTGCCAGTTTGATTCTGGGTCAGGGTCGATGCCTGGGTTGCAGGTTCAGTCACTGGTAAGGGTGCATAGGAGATGCAACCAGTCAATGTGTCTCTCCCTCTCTGCCTTCCCTTCTTCTAAAAATAAATAAATAAATAAATAAAATATTTTAAAAAAGAAAATGAACTTGGGCGGGAACCAAAGCATCATACCTCCTGGGGCTCCTGTCTTCAGTAGGGAGTGGCCCTGGATGACTTCCAAGGTGTCCTCAGACTCTGCATGTCCCTGGCTCTAGGAGGTGAGTGAGGCCCTGAAGGATGGGCAGAATCTGGACACGTGGAAGGAAAAGAAGTGAGCTTTCCCGGAAGGGGGCTGGGCAGTGGAGGGGCAGACCAGGATTAGGAACGTCTGGGTGCTGAGGGGGCTGACTGAGCTGTCAGGTCAGGTTGGGCAGGCAGGGGCTGCAGACCCCCAGGGCCCAGTAGACAAGCAGGATGTCGGGCCTGACGGAGTAAGCCAGCAACGCGCAGTAAGCCACGTGGTGCCACGGGGGGTTTGAGGAAGTTCAGCCTGGCAGCTGTCAGACACCTGGGGTCCTACCCAATAAGGAAAGGTCCCCAGAGGCCCATGCTGGGGCACCCGGTAGGCCTTGCAAGACGTGGGGGACCCCATGGACTCCGCTACATTCAGAGGATGGGGCAAGATTCCAAGGAACCTATGACTTTCTTTTGCCTTCGCTTCCAAATCTGCAGATCCCCTGCCCCTGGGAAGGCGTTCAATCCCAGAGTCCCTCGTGTCCTCGGGAACTGCAAGGAGGAATGGGAGCTGATCGGGCCTCGAGACACAGTCGGGCAGGTGCCTCGCTGTCCAGGCCAGGCCTGGGCAGACCTCTGATGTCTTCCCTCCTCCCCCTCCCCAGTCAGAGGGCTGGGGGAGGCTCCAGGGCTCTGGCCGGGCAGTGCTGGTGGTGGCCAGAGTGGAAAATCCCCCACTGGCTGGGTGACACTGGTGTTTGGCAGGCCTGGTCTTGGCCTTCCGCCTGGGGCTTGAGGGCCTAACAAATCTGTTTGGAGTCCTGAGTGTGGGGTACCAGGTGGCAAAGAGGGTGCTGGTGTGGGAGCTTTTTTCCACTCACCCAAGAATGGGACGCTCTCCCGTGCCAGGTTAATGTGCTGGGCGAGCTCCAGGGCACCTTAAGCGATGAGAAGTGTGTAGCTGGGAAGCAGGTAGGGCCCGGAGACAAAGGATGGATGCACAGGACAGACCAGACCTGGGGGCAGGAAAAAGGGCCGACAGGGGCTTGGGAGGAGAGTAACAGGGGGCACGAGCATTTCAGGAAAACTAAAATCAGGGTGGAGTTGCAGTGGGGCTGGAGAAGAGAGACAATGACAAAAAGAAGCAAGAGCCAGCCCTGTCCCCTTTGTCCGAGTCCCTGCCCTAAGCCTCTTGTTGTCCCAGACTAGCATGAGAGGCAGGCCAGAAGCCAGTTTGGCTTACCCAACAAGTGTGTCATGCATGAGAACTTGCTGAATCGTAATAAGAATTTCTCCAAATGCCCCATTGGACCTTGAAAGCCTCCAAAGCTGCCCCCAAAAGCTCTGATTTCAGCCACTGGCATCCCGGCCCACCACCTGTACCAGTGCCGCCATCATCGCCATGAGGACCACTCTCACCAGCACTGTGAACGTCACCGGCGTCCTGGTCACTGACCCCATCATCCCCCAGCTCCCCTAACCGCAGCCCCTTACCCCAACGGGTTGGGGGTGCTGGGAGCCAGGACTTGAGCCAGACCTTCAAGCCTGTCACCCATAAACCAACAATTCTCAACAATTTTGGCCTAACGAGACAATTAGCAATGCCTGGAGACAACTGGGGGACCGCTGCTGGCATCTTGTGGGCAGAGGCGGTGGGTGCTGCTAAACAACCTGCGATGCACAGGGCGCTGCCACAACGAAGAATTATTCATTCTACAATGTCAGAAGTGCTGAGATGGGCAATGCACCTCTAGAGCCTGTGGCCCCCACTCTGGCTCTGTCTTTCTCTGGCCCTCATGCCCAAATGCCCCATCGCACTTCTGATTCTTGGGCAAGAAGTAATCTTTGCCACTTCAACTTTGTTCTTTCTTATCGCTCATGCCTCCTGGCCTCCATATCTGTATTGAAAAGTCAATAAGATGAAAAGTCCTTTGCGGCCACCCTTGAGAGGGAAAACACACCGGAACAACTGGTACACGGAGCACAGGCTACACCATGGGCTGAGGTCATGCTTGCCCAAGGCAGGGGGGCAGGGACTGCTCTGGACACCAGGGGTATAGAGGTCGGAGGGAGGGCTCGGGCTTTCACTCACCTGCAAGTGTCCAGCTTGGAGTAGCTTTCGCTCTGTGGGCAGTCGGCAATCGGCATTAAGAAGTGGATGGTGATGGCCCTGCTCTGCCTCCAGCTCCTGGAGGCAAAGGTGGTCGGGTGAGTTTGGGGCCTGGCAGCAGGTGCGGAACCCTGGGCAGGAGACTGCAGCCCTGCGAGGGGTGGCCTGGCCAGAGGGCAGCCCACCTGCCTCCAGAATTTCTGCCAGGGGCAGGGCAGGATCCCCGAGCCGGTAGGACAGGAATTCCAGGTGGGAGGAAACATCCAGTCAAAGGGAGAAAAGATGGACCAGAAAAACAGAATAGGGATGTCTACTGCTCAGACAGACTGCACGCGGCTGTGGTTCCTCTCACAGAAGAAAACAATTGTCTCTGGGTAGGGAGACTCATTTGCTAAACATTTCCTTACGGCCCGAACTTATTTGGCAGATGACACAATCACCTAAGCAGGAACATCAGTAATGTAGTCTCTGCATGCTGAGACGTCAGGAGAAAGGGGGTGAGGGGCAGGGCTCACAGGACACCCAGAGGGCTGGACCAGCCACGGCTCGGCTCTTAGAGTGACTCCTTATGTGGAGAGATGGATCATCTTAGAAACTTCTTGTAACATGAAATTCTGTAGAAGTGATTAGAAAGCTCGATGTGAATAGCTCAGTGCCAATGTCCCCCACCCCACCCCAGGCAGGAATGGGGTAACCGAGGGTGCTAGGGCAGAAACCCCTAATTCTTAAGCCCCAATTCCAGAGCTGACCTGGGTTCCAAACTACGCAGGCCGATTTCCTCATCGTTCCTGTGTTGAGAAGAATGGCAATCGGCCCGACAGTTAGCCTCAGAGGCAGAACCAGGACCCTGCCGTCTGAGGCCCCGTCTAGCCCTTCTCCCCTGCACCCGCAATCTGTCACAGTCGGCTGGTGCCAGGTGCCTGTCGGCCACCACAGGAGAGGAATTTCCCTGGGATGAACTTTGTCATCTGCAAAACCTTGTAAAAATGCACATATACGGCAAAGAGTCATGCCCGGCATCTCTCACCTCTTCCTGGGAAGGAACATAAGGGACATCAGAGAGCAGAGGGCCAGGTCGGATGAGGGCCCTTGAGATGGGGAGGGAGCATCACCGGTGAATGAAATTGTTTCCTGAAACTCGGAGCGAGTCCTGAAAAGAATTTTGAAAGAAAGGGACGGAGAGGGGAAGAAAGAGAAAGGCGGAGGAATTAAGAGACAGAGAGACAGACACAGAGAAGGAGACAGAGAGACGAACAAATGGAGGAAGGGAAAAACACAGGCAAACGCAAGCGACGGACACAAGGGTGCAGAGTGGCAGGGAGACAGAGGCAAACAGTGAGAGGTGGGGAGAGGGGCTGCAGGAGAGGGAGGCCCCTGCCCGGACACAGGACCTCCTGCAGAGTCCCCCTGAGAGAGTCAAGTCCATCTGTAAAACCATGGAGGAGAAGGGCTGACTGGAGGAGTTCCTGAAGACCCACAAGCACGACCCTGTTCAGAAGTGCCATATCAGTGACTTCAGCGTGGCCTACGAGCCCATGGCCTACATGGATGTGAGTCCTGATCCTCCCAGGGGACCCCTCTCCCTGCTGCCAAAGGCTAAGGCAAGGCCCGGGCAGTGAGGGGCACCCCTCCACCTCACCCACCCCCAACCTCTGCCCCATTCTTTCAGACCTGCCAGCCTGGACCTCATTCCCTGGGCAGAGCATGGGTGGGGGCTCGGCTGACCTGGCACAGGCTCAGGGGCTGTGGGCTCGGGGCAAATGTGGAAGGAAGGCTCAGGCCCCTGCTTCTGGTGGAGGCTGTAGGGCAGGAGCTGGTCCATCCTCTGCTCTGCCCATGGGGGATGCTGGGCTGCAGGTCCTGGATCCCTCCGGAGCTAACAGCCTGCTCCACTACCCTACCCCAGGCGGCCTACTTTGGTGAGATCGGCATCGGGACCCCACCACAGAACTTCCTGGTTCCTTCAGATACCAGCTCTTCCAAACTGTGGGTGCCCTCTGTGTACTGCCAGAGCCAGGCCTGCAATCTTCACAGGGATTGCTGGGGGGAGCTCTGGTCGTGGAAAGGACCAGGGACTGGTCCAGGGGCACATGGCATGTCCAAGCCAGAGGGAGGAAGCTGGTCCTGGGACTGGCACCTCTGCCTTCCTTGCTCACCAATCCCTATTCCTTCATCGGCCCCAGCCCACTCCGCTCTGCTCCATTCATTACTAGGTTCTCACTGAGTGTCTGCAAGGCACACAGGGCGACAACACAGGATGTGGGCCCCATTCTGCGGTCGTATTTGGAGACAGATGACATTCACTGTCTTAAGGCTGCCCTGGTCTCTGTCAAGGCCTTGAGGTTTGGGTCCTCACACCTGTAGTACAGAGGGTCCCCCCCCTCCGCCCCACCCTCAATGATCTCAGGATTTTGGAATGGCTAGCTTCCTGACCTGGTTAGGGTTGAGGAAAGCAGGGGGTCCTGGAGAGTCATTTATCGGCACTCACCATGTGCCCGGTGACCTCCTGAGGCCCAAAAGACAGTTGGATCTGTGCGACCAGCCCATAGGGAGATTGCAGCCCTAGGGCTCCCCAGAGTCTGTAAGTTGGAGGCCAAGGCTGGCCAGTCCTGCGGGCCTTTGAATGCTGGGAACCTAGGCCGGCCCCCCCATGACTGATGGCAGGGTATGTTGAGGCCACAGGATGTGAACACAGGCCTGAGAGCCAGGGCAGGCCCCCATGCTCCAGCCCAAATTCCCGAATCCTCCCTCCCCCTGCAGCTGGCCACAGCTGCTTCAACCCCAGCCAGTCCCCGACCTCCTCCACCAATGGCCAGGCCTTCTCCCTGCAGCACGGCAGCGGCAGCCTCACTGGCTTCTTTGCCTGCGACGCCGTGATGGTGAGTGATGCCGCTGCCGCTCCTGCCCAGGACCTGGGCTCTGACCTCACAAGCTTCTGAGACTAATCAAGAGAGTAAGACAGAGACCCTGAAAAATATGGAACACACCTCATGCTCCACTGCACAGGACAGAAAATCAGCATTCACTCACCGAACCCCCAGTAAGGGCCTTCATGTACAGGACGCTGAGGGCACCATGATGAATGCGATGACCCGGCCCAGGGAGGGGGCTGCTGGAGCTCAGGGAAGGCCATTCAGACAAGAAAGTGGCTCTTGCAAGACCTGTCAAGCAGGATGGAGGACAGGTGAAGGAGGATGAAGAATGAGACTTGAGGGGTCTCTAGGGATGTCTGGGAAAGAGTAGGTGGAGTTACACTCGTCACCTTGCATGCTGTGTGTCCCCTCCAGGTCCGGAGTATCCAGGTCCTCAACCAAGAGTTCGGCCCGAGTGAGAATGAGCCCAGTACCAATTTCATCTACGCGCAGTTCGACGGCACCATGGGCATGGCCTACCCAGCCCTGGCCATGGGCGGGGCCACCACGGTCCTGCAGGGCACGCTGCAGGGGGCGCCCTCACCAGCCCCGTCTTTAGCTTCTACCTCAGCACGTGAGGAATGGCTTGAGGGTCTCCAGGTCCGAGCCCCTCCCCACATCCTTCATCCTGGACAACTGAGGCTCCATCCTCTGGGATCTGGAGGCCTCCCAGCAGGCACTTGGCCCCAGCCACTCTATTCCAGGGCCCTCCCTCCTGGGCTGCTGACAGCTCCCCCATCCCTGCCTCTGTCCCCGGACGACCCCCCCCCCAGCATTGCTCCCTCCTCTGGCCCAGCTTGCTTCAACTATTGCTGCTGATTCTTAATACCTCTTGGGTTTACCGCCTGCCCAGATCCCCAGTTAGCTCCTTTCCTTCTGACCCAATGCTTACTACCTGGACACTTCTTTTGTAGAGCGATCTATTGCTTCCTCTCCTTTGAACTGTAGTTCTTGCTAGGTCCTGGAACAACAGCCAGGCCCAGATTCTGGTCAAGGTGCACCATGAACTCCTAACAAGTGGTTATCCTCACCACAAACAACAGCGAACACGATTCTTTCTGTGGATGGGCTTGGGAGCCAGGCAGTGGGAGAGGGTGTGAGGCTTGGAATGGACTTTCCTCCTTTCTTCTGAGGGTCAGCCAACCACCTCGTAGAGGGAGCATCTACCATCGAGACCTTAAAAACTAGAATCTGACTTTCAACCATAGTACCTACCCTGTTCTAATATTGCTGATTTACTTCCTCTGTTTATGACGACCCTGAGTTTAGTTAGCCTTTAGGAGCTTCCCCCAGTTTCACACTCAAGTTCAGCTACCAGGGAAGTCCCTTCTCACAGCCGCTCCCTGACTCACCTTTCCCTATGAGTCCTGCAGCCAGCAGGGTTCTCAGAATGGAGGAGCAGTCACCTTTGGGGGTGTGGATAACAGCCTGTACCGGGGACAGATCTACTGGGCTCCCGCCCATCACCAGGGAGCTCTACTGGCAAGTTGGCATTGAGCAGTAAGTCTTGGCTGGACCCTGGGGTTGTGGGCACTTCTTCGGAGCCAGGTTATGAAGTACCTGGCTTCATGTCACACACACAGAGCCAGGCACTGCCGAGGGGCTGGGACAGAGGCCCACCCACCTTCAGGCCTGCCCTCGTAAAGCCCCAGCTACCTCTGCTAGAGTTTCAGCCCAGCTGAGGCCCAGCTCAGCCTGCAGAAAAGAGATGGGATGGGGGGATGGAGGAGGGGGCAGGATCTGGAATCCCAAACATTTCAGACCCCGTTGTCTAACCCTGAGGGCTCACAGATTAGCAACTGGGGTGTGTGGTGGTTGGGGAGGGGCTAATTTGCTTAAAGTACATACAACAGATCAATGTTTCTAGAACCTTCCTTGGAACTTTTGAGAAGAGATTCCATGGCCATTTAAGTAGCCTTAGGTAGACTCTGGTATGGTGTGAGTCTACCTATGACGACTACCTATGACTACCTACCTATGACGACTCAGCCCGTCGTCATAATGACTGGCTTGACCTCTGCAGAGTCCTTGTCTTCCTCACTTTGCTTCTGTGACTGCAGCTGTTAGTCCCTCAGAGGTGGGGAAAGCCCACCCCAGCTGCCCTGAACCGGGGGTGCCAAAGCTGCTCATCTCACCATTCAGGCTCCTCATTGGCGGCCAGGCCATCATCATGGACACAGGCACATCTCTGCTCACCATGCCCCAGCAGTACCTGAGCACCCTTCTGCGCGCCACAGGGCCCAGGAGGACCAGTACGGACAGGTGCGTCTGCTGGGGGCCATGCCGGCCTTTCCTGGGAGCCCAGAAATGGTCCGAGATTCTTGGCCTCCGTACTTCAAGCTTCCCAAGGCGCTGGATGTGCAGGCCCCTGGGATGCCTGGGGTGGGGGCCTGGAGCCTGATTCAGGGGTGCAGACAATTGTGCTGAGGGACTGTGAGGAGGGTCCTTCTAGGCAGAACTTTTTCTGAGCCTCAGCTCCTCAGAGGAAACAGGTTGAACAGTTGCTGGACTTTGAAGTAAGAGAGAAATAACTGGAAAGAGGGGCCAAGCTGGTGAGCGACAGGGAGTAACTTTTTAATCCGCCTGTCCCCCACCTGCATGGAGCCGGGCCCTCTGCTCCTCCTCTCCCCTGAGCCCAGTCAGGACTCTGCCTAAATAACGCACTCCCCCTGCCTCCGTGGGACCGACGGGCTACTCCTTCCACAGGCCTGTGCGTTTTCAAGAGACAGTGGCAGAGACGGAAAATAGGTTCAACCTGCCAATGGGGGGAGGGTCAGGCAAAAGTAAGGTTTCTGGGGTGGCAGTGATGCTCAGGTCTCCCTAAATCCTGTCCCCTGCACATGAATACACACGTAAGGCCAGCAGTGCTTACACAGGACTTCCCTTGAGTGTCGCCACCTCAGTCCAAAAGTGGGCTCAGGACTCAGGCCTGGAGCCAGAGGGGCTGAGGTGACAGAGTTGGTAGCTCCTCTCGGGTGGGAGAGGAGACAACCTGGGCCCTGTTCCTCTCTCTGCAGTTTCTTGTGAACTGTAACAACATCCAGAACCTGCCCACCTTCACCTTCATCATCCGCGGGGCACAGTTCCCTTTGCCACCCTCTTCCTACATCCTCAACGTAAGTCCCGGTCCCCACAGGCTGAGCGAGCAGGGACATGATCAGGGTGGGAGGAGGCGTGAGGAGCCAGAAACGCTCCGTCTACTCACCTTGTGCCATTTCCCGACTTCCTTAGCACTGATTTAGTTTCCCCACTCATTGATTCTAAACCCCTTCCTCTGGAACCAGGCTGTAAAGAGTGTCATCTATTATTCATCACTATTATTAATTAGTTGGGAGAGGCACCGGCTCTCTGTTGTGCACTTACCAAGGTCAGCCACTGTGCAAAGCCCTTTGTCTACACTATCCCACTTAATTATCTCAACACTCAGTGAGGGAGATACTACTTTCTATTTTACAAATGAACACGTGGAACACCGAGTGGTTAGGTAACTCACTGAAGGCTATGCAGCTAGTCAGGGTGAAACTAAGGTTTGGATCCAAGTTGATCTGCCTCAGAGTCTTGACCACCAGGCTGACTCACTCTAGACAGGGAGCAGGAGGAAGATGAGTGTGGGGAGGACACACAGAGGAGTCCCTGCAGAGGGTCACTGTAGACTGTATTCCTCCATTCCAGAAATTCCTCCCACCAGCCTCCGCGCTGGCAGCTCAGTTGGCCTGAGCTCTCAAGGGCATACACCCTGGCTCACTAATTTCTGCACATGCACCCCACACCTTGTCCGTGCATGAGCAAAATGAATGAGTGCTGTGCTTTTGTCTTGTGCAGAACAATGGCTACTGAAACATGGGGGTTGAGCCCATCTATCAACAGCCAGAACAGCCAGCCTCAGATCCTTGGGGACATCTTCCTCAGGTCCTACTATTCTGTCTACAACATGGGCAACAAAAGGGTGGGCTTCCCCACTGCCGCCTAGACTCAGTGTCTAGACGCCTGGGCTCCCTTCCTCCTCTCAGCCCCCCACCTTGCGGGGGCTTCTCTCTGTGCTTCTCCTCTGGATTCAGCTTTCTTTTCTGGACTCTGGACTTTTTCTAATAGTAAATAGTTCTTCTCCATGTTGGTCAGCCTGTTGTTTTTTAGAGGGCAGCTGCAGCCTGTAAGGCTGCTCCTGGTCTCAGGGAGTGGGGAGTGAGATTTGCTTCTGCTGGTGTCAGGGTTGAATTTGTGCCTGCTGAACCAGGTTGTCCCTTAGTTGCTTTGAGGTTTCTGGGTAGGTCACTGGGATTCGAAAAGAAATGGAGCATAAGGTAGGGCTCGGGGATGGACCCTATACCCTTCACAGCTTCTTTCTAGAGAGGAAAGACAGGGGTAGTGGCATTGAAGGGAAAAGGGGCCCTACTCTGACAACCCGAAATGCTCTGCTGATGTAATGATCACTTACCAAACTATCACCAGATTTACTTTATGCATGTCCACATGCATGTCCACTAGCAGTGTGGCTAGGGGGTCAAATGACTCCCAAATGCACCTCCTTATCTGGGATCGACTTTGCACTAGGAGCTGCCTGAGGCATGCCAGGTGCCAAGGATGCCTATGTGCGTGGGCTTGTAAGTCATCTAGGGAGGGTCCTCTATGCCACTAGAACCCATCTCCAGGAGAGTTTCTGAAGGTCTGAGCTGAGTAAGCTGATCATATTTTCACCCAGACACCTCTATCCCGGGGCCTGTATTTGAGCAAGGGCTGGCCCTCAACAGTGGACAAGAAGATGATGGCCCAGCACCCTGTAATGTTCAACAGGGGAAGGTGACCTGAAAGATCAGAACATTTCTGATTTTGATAGTGGTGGGGGTTACCAGCAAGCTCCGACTGACGAGACCTAGGTAGGGAGGAGCTGTAAGTGCAAAATTCCTAATGTGAGGGGACAGGAGCTCCATGCTGCAGTCACATTTCTTTTACCTTATCCTTCACCAGGCTGACCCCAACCTTGTCCCTTATGCTCAGGGACAGAGGTAGAAGTGCAGGCCCATTTACCCCATTGCATACCAGGTGGGAGACTGAGGCTGCCACCCAGGAGTTACTACAACAACGGCACACCGCCTGGGGCCCTACAGCTCTCCCAGACTCTGGGAAAGACAGCATGCTTGCAGGCTTCTTCTCGGGGTCAGACAGGCCACAGGGTGTATTAGTGGTGAGCTCTGGTTCGGGACATCGCTGACTGGGAAGAGAAAGAAAACGTGCAGAAGGGGAAGAAACGAAGTGGCATAGAAGTTCCGAGTTAAACGTCAAGTCCCTGTATACAGCCTTGGGCCCACAGAGCGGGACTACAAATCCCCGCGCGCCAGGGAGAGCTGCAGCGAAGACTACGTTTCCCAGCGGGCGCCGCGCAGGCCAACGGGGGCGGGGCGGGGCGGGGCCGCGGGGTGGGTGCTGCCCTCTGCCGGGCGCCGCGGGAACTGAGTGCGGAGTGACAGCGGGAGCCGGGGCGCCGGGCGCGGGGCTCGGTGACAGCGGAGGCGGCGGCCGCTGGCTAGACATAGGGAGAGGCGGCGGCGCTGAAAGCAGCAGGAAGGGCGGACGGGGCGGGCCTCGCCGGGGGTGCCGAGCCGGAGGAACTCGGGAGGGGGCGGCAAGCGCAGCTTGAGAGCCGGACACCTGAACTTGGGACAAGTTGCCGGAGCCCCCGGGCGCGGGCGGCGGACGGATTGACCTTCAGAGCTAGGTGAGCGGGGGCCGGGGGGCGAGGGGTGCGCGGAGGGCCCGAAACTCCCGGTCCAGACTCCCCCGCCCCCATCCCGTGGGTCCGAGAGACAGGTGGGTGGGTGAGGGCGCGGGCTGGAGAGGGGAGCGAGACCGTGTGCGCCACGCCGCCACTGGCCTCGCTGTCCGTCTAGCCCGGGACGCCCGGCGCAGGGCCAGAGCGGCGTTGCCTGCCGTTCCCGGGAACCGGTGCGGCCCCTCCCTTCGGGCCCGGGCCGGGGGCGGCTTCTCTGCGACCTTATGTAACAAGGCGGGAGGGGCCGGGGCGGGCATGGGCCTTCCCGGCCCGGGAGTAGAGGGCCGAAGGGGCGGGAGGCGTGGGAGTGAACTTGCAAGAAGTTTGAGGGACGTGTGGGCCCCGCGCCCACTTCTTCTCCCCCGGACGCGGTGGGGGCGGATGGTACAGGGGGAGGGCGGCGGAGGTAAGGGAGGTGTGCGGGGGCCGAGCCGGGCCCTGCCAGGCCCTGCCGGGATGGTCCGGGGGAGTGGGAGGGCCAGAGCGGCGCCACGCCCCGGGGGCCGGGCTGTTGAGGGCGGGGGCTGGGGACGGGGGGGAAGTGCCATCCTTCCCTCCCCTCCCGTCCCTTCCACCCCCTCCCTCTCCTGAAGTAGCCGCCCTTGCTCACGTCCCCCAGAATCCCTGAGCGCTGTCTTTTTCTCCCCCTTGCATTATTCCACGACCTTATGAACCCCGGCCCCAGAGCTTACCTTTCGTGCACCCCCTCTTTCTGTTTTACCGTCAGTTCCCAGTCATCTGCCCATTCCCCGAGAACCATACCCGTCCACCCCCGACGCACACCTTGTTGGTCCCAAATCCCGGAAAACACGCCCCCTCCCCCCTATTCCTTGTGGTCGCATAGCCCAACACCAGGCTGTCCCGCCCTCCAAGTCAGCGCTCACACTTCACCCTCCCCGGACGCCAGACGGCTACTCCGCCGCGGCGCGTGCACTTACCTCCTGGATGGGAGCGGGCTGATGCCAGCTCGGTCCCCGCCCCTCGGCCCCCTCCCAGTCCGGGTTCTGGCTTCACGCACGGCTGCTCCAAGCTGCTTCGGGTTGTGAGAGCAGGTTTGCGCCGCAGCCGCCTGGAGCACCCTAGCCTCTCGCCCAGGGGGAGAGAAGGCGGTGCCCGCGCTGCCCAGGGCTCCCCCTTTCTGGTTCCCTGCCAGCCCCTCACCGCGGAGTCCTTGGCCCATACCCCGTCCACTCCAGCCGTCTGTTCTGGGGACGGTTCGGGGTGGGCAGTTTCTAGACTAAACTTGAGAGCAGTGCTTTGGCTTCGCGTTCGTTCCCTGGGGAAGTGCCGGTTAATTACTTCTCAGCCTCCACTCCTACCCCACTGAGTGAGGGGTTGCTTAGTGGAGCAGGGAGGGGAACAAGGCTAATGCAGCGCCCACCCTCCCCCACCCCCATCCCCGCCCCCGTGACACCTCTGGGATGTGGACTCAGGCCCTTGCACTTGCTCTGGCCGAGATTCCACCGGCTCAAGACCTTCCTCTAGGGTGGCTAGATGCCCGTGTGCTCAGATCAGAATGCAACATTTGGCTCCTTGGCCTGTGCCCTCAGAGGCCTTCCCTGTGCCCAGTCTGGCCGACAGCTCCCAGGCCCTGTCCTCAGTCCTCACGGCCTGGGGAAGAGACAGCAGCAAAGTTCAAGCCATCTGTAGAGGCACTGGAAGGGGAAAGGCTGGAATCTTAAGAGTCCATCCAGTCTGGTAGTTTGTTGGTATGCTGGTACTGTGCCTCAGTTTCCCTAGCCTTGCGAAAAATAGCGACTGGCTTGGCTCCTTTCTTTCTCGCTGCCAGGACAGGAGAGCGGGAACCAGGGTGCAAGTGAAAGGCCATTTCAGGTGGCTCTGTGTTCTTTTCCTGGAGGGGCCAGTGTTGCTCACAGTGGACACAGCCGGTGACAGCTGCAGTGCTGTTTTGCCTTCACTCAGCTCATTGAGGTGCAGCTAAATGGAGACCCAGGTCGCCTGGTTCCAGGTCCCATGGGACGGGTGCAGGGTTTGGGGCAGGGGACATCTCCTCAGGTGAGCACCGAGCCCAGGGAGAGCCAGGTGGGCTTCTGAGGGCTGATGGCCCGGTGAGTAACAGTCAGAGGGGAGCAGGGGCTGGGCCAGGGCAGGCAGGTAGGGTCCTGGAAGAGTAGAGCTACAGGGTGTCCATCCCCTCTGCCCATCAGGACCCCCTTTCAGTCTCTCTGCTGGAAAGTAGGTAGGAGGGGCCTCCCACCCCTCAGGTCTGGCTGCCCTTTGGGGGTCTGGCTTCTGGCCCTGATCCCTCCTGGGGCTCTGTTTATGGCTGTCATTGCATCACCAGCCAGAGTTTATAGAGTTACTTAGCACCTGCCCCCACAGGGAGTGGCCCAGCCGCCCGCTGGTGTCTGTTCCTTCCTTTTCAAAGTCAACTTGGTTTCTGCTGGCAGCAGGGGTTTCCCCAGCTACAGCTGGTATGGAAGCCAGGTTAGGCCTTTGTCCTGTGGATGGAGGGCAGTGAGTACTTGGGGCCCAGCTTAGGGCTGCCCTGGAGATGACTGTGGACATTGAGTTGGCTTCTTGCAATACAGAAGGAGGGCACTTAGGCTTTCCAGAGCTCTCAGAAGTGTCCGTGTCCCAGGAGGCAGCATATACGCATGTAATGTGTATGTCCCCATCTGAAAAGAGGGACATAAAAATGTACACACTTCATGGGCTGTAGTGAGGATTCAGACAGGAGCTGTGCCTGGTACATGGTGAGTCCATTGTGTTGCTCTGGGCGTCCCTGTGGGGGGTGTGTGATTGATGGGGGTTTGTGTGTGTGATTATGAGATTACAGGCATCAGTGTGTACATAGGTGAATTGTGTATATGGGTGTCTGCAAGTGTGACAGTAACACAATATTACACTAATGGAATATTCTCTTTATACTATGATAGAACAATATTATAAACAACAGTTCTAAAACAACAGTTGCCAACATTCATTATTATTCTTTAGAATGAGGTAGGAATTATTATTTTCACTGTACTGACTCAGAAAAGTCAGTTGCCTGAAGTCACACAGCCTAGAAGCGGTGGGGACTCTAACCAAGGCCCAGAGGGCTCCGAAGCCCGTGTTCCCAGTCCCTAAAGAGCACTTCAGGGTTTCCAGGAGTTTTAAGAGGTGGATGTGTGGTGGTCTGGGAACTTTCTTTCCCCCCACTCAGGTCTACTGCCCGGTGGGGCAGGGGGGAGGGGCGG